AAGAGGATCTAACTAATGTTTCTTTTTGTTTTGGTTAGTGCAACCATGGCTATATACGACGTGGTTCAACTTGTGAGAGCTGATGTTTCGACGATTGCTCTTGGCATTGCTGCATCAACAGCTTCGATAATTCTTGGTGCAGGAACTAAAGGGAAGCGCTTTGCTATGCCCAACACGAGGATAATGATTCACCAACCTCTTGGAGGTGCGAGCGGTCAAGCTATAGATGTTGAGATTCAAGCTAAAGAAGTTATGCATAACAAGAACAATGTCACTAGCATTATCGCTGGATGTACTAGCCGTTCGTTTGAGCAGGTCCTGAAAGATATTGATAGAGACCGGTACATGTCTCCGATTGAAGCGGTTGAGTATGGGTTAATTGATGGAGTTATCGATGGAGACAGCATTATTCCTCTGGAACCTGTTCCTGATAGAGTGAAACCGAGAGTGAACTATGAAGAGATTAGCAAGGATCCGATGAAATTCTTGACTCCGGAGATACCTGATGATGAGATTTACTAAGCTCAAGGCCGTCTAAAACCAGGTGATTGTTTCTGGTTAAATGTTTAGCCATGGATTCTTCATCTTTTGCTATTTAGTGGGTGAAATAACACTGCGAAAACCAGATAATAATGCTTCAATCTTCATTATCTCCAGGAATCTTTCAAAACGACTGAGACTGGCAAGTGTAGAGGAAAAAGCTCGATAACTTCTGCGGTCACTGGTGAGATTGGCTTTGCGAAATTGAAGCTGGTATTACTTGCCTGTGTATCTCATATTTCACATATTCAGGAAACATTTGTTCTTAAAATCACACTGTTTTTAGCATAATGACTTAAAGAAGCTGTAGCAGATTTCGTTCTATGGATTCAAGACGTATCAATCTAGTGTTTTTTCCTTCCAAGGTTTCTCATTTTGAAGAGCATGAACTTTTATAAAATACGTATATAGCCATAAACTTTTGTTTTATTTGCGAAATATGCTCCATTGGATCATGCGACACATTGAAAGTAAAAAATAAAAACATGTTATTAGCGTTATCAAAATGCTAATTTTGCTCATGTAATAACAAGTTTAGAGTAAACAGAAGACATATAGCATGCTTTCTTTTGTTAATATGCTTTTGCTTGTTCATCTTTTTTGTTTGTGTGAAATTATATCAAAGTTATCATATATTTTGCATAGTGTGGTCATCTTCTTTGATAAAGTGTATGTATGTGTGTTTGTATACAAGATTATTATATTTGATAAAATAACATGACTACGAAATACAGGTATTAAGATCATGTTCCTGGTCATTTTTTGTTTTATGAGAACTGAGAAGTATCTGTCCACTTTATATCTATACGGATTAGGATTCAAGGTTTGTAAAAGACTTGGATCAATTCTCAGATTTGGGCCCTAATTTGAGGCTTGGGCCTTCTCGTCATTTGTAACCGTAAGGTTTAGTGGAGCTTTAATCGTGGGCCACTAAGTATTCCACGTCAGCAGTTCAAAATCATATTGAAGCTTGCACGGTAAGCTTATATTTAATTGCGTGCTCGAAGAGATTTTGTCGTATCTAATTACTCACTAATTTTGCATTTTTTGGTCCTTTGATTATCATTTTTATTAAAGTTCAGTCATAGTTTTTTCAATATTACGAAACCCACCTAAATCATAATAACTTTGTGTACATATGTACATTAGAAATCTGCATATAAGTATGCAAATTCGCATACAAATTGGGAGACTAAATTTTAACTTTGGGATATATGTAATTCTCGAAAAATCCAGGACCCGATATGTTAATAGCCTAAACTCACGAAAAGCCTTCTTTTAGTTTCCCTCTCAAAAGCTTCGACCTTTTCTCACACTTTTAGGTCTCCTCCTTAAATCCCTAAATCCAGTTTTCATCCTCTTCTCAGAGTCTCTGTAAACCCAAACCCTCTTTCGTTTTTCTTTCCCAGATTCCAAAAACCCTTCTCGATTCCAGGATTAACCCATCTTCCTTCCCGAATCGAGGATCTCTACAGTGCGAATTCGACTTTGGGTTTTTTTTTTGTCGGAAACGATGGGGGCGTCGAATTTGTCGGCGGGAGCGATTACGAAGATTTTGAATGGAGATTTGACGAGTGATAAAGATATGATACCGATTCTGCAAGTGACGGATTTGAAGCTGATTCAGAGCAAGCTTCAAAATCAGGATCAAAGCAATATTAGATATAAACTTTCGTTATCCGATGGGATCCTCTCGCAACAAGGGATGCTCAACACTAACATGAACAATTTTGTGTTACAAGGGAATCTTCAAGTCGGGTCTATTATAAGACTCACTCATTTCGTCTGCAACAATATCCAATTACGAAGGTAAAAAATGCTTCATTTTGCTTCTCAAATGAATAGTGAAGATTCGAGTTTACTAGTGAATTGCTTGGCCCTTTGTGGTTTTTCCCTTAATCCTAGATTCATAATTGGGTAGATTATAAATAAAAAGAACCAATCTTGTGTTTATACAGCTCTGGTGCTAACAGGATTATAGTTGTTATGGAAATGGAGATTCTTGCGGAGAAATGTGATATAATTGGGAATCCTGTAAACACATGGAAAACTGATTCTGGAAAAAGCTCGGTTGAT